TCAACTGCTGACCTTATGGTTAGCAAATCCAGTGCTTATCCTACAGCACCACATTTTTATTAGATGAATTAAAACTCTTAAGTTTCAACTTAATAAGAAAAAAAAAAAGGAATTCATTTGAAAGCTTTTTCAATTTTCTCATTTAATAGAAAGAACCAAAACAATATGGTTTTCAAACAAGGCTTTAAACTAATCTAATACAACTTCTACAACACATTCCAGAGCATTTTTAACAAGAAATATTTACAGGCAGCTAATGTTTTTAAATAACCATGAAAAGAAAAAAAAGTTGCTTTTATTACACACCAGCAAAAAACACAGGAACGAAACAATTAGAAACTGCAACCTTGTTTTAAAAAATTAAATATGATTATTTAGAGAATACGATACCACAGAAACAGCACTTTTTCTTTAAGAATCATACTGAAGGGTGTTAACTATGTGCAAAAATATGAGGGGAGGAGACCAGTTGAAATAATGAAAGCAAGGAACTAGTAAGGCTGTTAATTTTAACCCTTTTGTGTGTAGGTACGTCTACATAGAAAAATCAACAGGCTTTCAAATTGCACAAATGTTTTGTTTTTTTCCCCCAGGCTTATGTACATATGTCACTGTGTTTTTAAACATAGTAGATGCCTATAATTTTCAGACCAGGAGCAGACATGCATTTCCTTCTTAAGATTGAAATTCAGGCCACATTTGAAAGGGGGTATTGCAGTGGCACTTACAGAGTCATTTCAGTCCTTTCCCATATACAAATTTGGTGAATTGAAAAGAAGAGCATATTTAATTTTAAGATTGGTTTGTTTTTCAGACACAATAAAAAATATATAAAGGACCACATAGGCAAACACAAGAAACTAAGTGGAAGAAATGCTATACATGCACTTTGACCAAGTAAAAGAAATCATTATATCCAAGAGTACATGTTGAAATCTGAAATGTCTATGTAAACTGTGGCATATAAATTTTTTTTATTATTAAAAAAGTACCTTCAATTTTTTTTTTTACTCAAACACCTACTTTTAAAAAAATATGCAACTTTCCCCAATTTTTTAAAATAAAATGCCACAATATATTGTCATTAGCTCCAGCATACATTTAAATTTCTTAATTTTTAAAAGATAGACTGGGTGTGATATGCATACAAACTTTCCTATAAAATCACCATCAAGGAGGGGATTGTGACATGCTATTACTCAACAAACTCAAAAGCAGTATTATTGCTTTTTCCTGGAAGAGATAACTAAAAAAGAAATCAAAGACAAAAATCCAAGTCCACTATATGATCACACTGTGATGCACCTCAAAACTCTTGCTGCTGCTCTCTCACCTTCAGCAAATCATTCAGATTAAGAATTCATGATAGGAATTAAAATGTGATTGTTTTCATTAAGGGATAAAATAAATATAAAACCAACTGATTCAATGCTGAGTATGCAAATAAACAGGGATGACTTCAACATGAAACAGGATTTTTCTACTTCACGTGTTGTATGTGACTGGGGATAGGTAGGGATTTAAAGGCCAAGGGAGAGGGAGACAAGTATCTACCCCCTTTTTGGATAGTAAGTGACCCTTTTTATAACATATGGTAGGCCACAATCCAAGGGCATAGTCAGAAAACCTGAATCCATTGGCTTAATAACACTAATCACTAATAATTACATGGCAGGATACCTGCTGAGGTAATTGATAAATCTACAATTTGCACACTATAAACTTTTAACTTCTATTTAAAGGCATTATTTCTTTGGATTAACTTAAAAAAAAAAAAAAAAAAAAACACCCCAAAACCCCCTGAAGATCCGTTAAAATAAAAGTCGAGACTTAGCTGAGTTTAAAAATCATTTTAAATTCCCCTACATAAGAAATCAAAGTCAGAAAATATCTTGTTAATTCCAAAGTAATAATTTTAACAGTGGACCCAAAAATGGTTTGCTGTTTCTATACAGAGCATGTCCTAAAATTGAACCATATTTTAGAACTTTCACATGCCTCAATTTACAAAACAATTCCTTCACTCAATGAATTAGCTGAGCCAAGAGCTGAAAAACAATTGTAGCCAGTCCTATAAACTAAGGAACATTGTGTTCTTAGTTTTTTGATGAAAGAAAAAAAGTGAAGGGTGACAAAAACTTTGCTGCAATCTTTAAAAAGAAAATATTACATAGACTTTTCCTCCAAGACTAAAATACTGCCTTTTAATAAAGGATGTAAATGTAAAAGGGTATCAAAATAAACTGCCTTCAGGTATTGACAGGTATTCAATATTAGTCTTTTTAAAGCATAAATTAGTAAGAACACACATTTAAGATATCTGGGTTATTCAGTTTTACATTTCTTACCAGTCTGTATTAGACAGAGCTGGACAAATCATCTTAGAAACACAGTCATCAGTGTGCAAGAAAAAAACTTCAGTAAAATCTAAAGTGAACACTTTCATTTAATGGTGGTTTGCTGGTAGCTATCAATTTAATAGTAATTCCTCAGCAGTATAAAATATCTTCTTGTTAACAGAAATGGAGCCTATGAAGTGTTGACAATAAAGTGGCTTTTTAAGAACCAATCTTAAGTTAAAGGACACAATTAAAATATAAACTCCACCTAGCATGGAACTGTTGTTAAGGGGACACATTATACTTGAAGCCCTAAATATTGACAAATAAATATTTACTTAAAATGCTTATCCCCCACCGCCGCCCCAAGATGGCAGAACTTATTCATGAGTGAAGAACAACTACAAAATATTAAGACTCAAAGGCTTAGAAAAGGAAATTATACTGCTATTCACCACTTTGAAAGGCTTCCCAAATATGCCCTTCCATATATATACACATACATACATATAATATGTATATGTATGTATGTGTATATATATCTACATCTAAACTGGCATAAAAGATGTGTGGGATGTAAAATAAAGCATCTTCAAATGATTTCCCCTTCTCTAATGAGAAAATTCTTAGAAATTTGAGTAAAATGATAAAACAGCTTGGTGTCTTTTTTAAGTGTGTGTGCTGTATTTTTGCACAAACAACACACATAATATAGGGCTCCCCTCCCCTAATAAAGCTCACACATTAGTTTCCTATGCTCTCTGTGCACGTAATATGTGTGGGTGCGTTATATGTGAAAAATACGGTATATTTCTTACAACAAAAACTGAGAGGCTAAAAAGTGAGTCAGAGAAAAAGTCAAAAACAATAAAAACACTGTTTAAATACATCACCAGAAGGCCTGAATCATATTCTTGCTTGCCCCACCCCTTGCTAAGAAAAGAAAACAACCCAAAGGAATCTGTATAATAATTTCTTTAGAGCACTTTATTTGATTCAATATGCACTAAAAATATTTACTTCTTAGACAATTATGTCAAATAATTTTCTTTCCTGAATAGTCTACTGTCTGAACCGCTTAAGCTGAATTGTTTAAGAGGCAGGTGATTTGCCACAACTTGCTGACATCTGAAAAATATTTAGTGGCAAATTCTTCTATTTTGGTCACTTTATATTCTAATGTGTCCATACAAAAGTAGGACTAAAATTTTCAATTCAACCAAAGACATACACAGTCTAAAATGCTTATCTTGGGATCTGACTATCACAAATGAAGAGAAGAAAAATGAACCAGAGCCAAGTTGGTTTATCTGCTTTGGGTGCTGTAATCAGGGTAATAGAGGTGGGTTTACTCCAGTGACCTTTAAAAGTGGGGGGTTGGCTCATTTTCAGGATTTACTTACACTTCTTATCTAAGTCCTTTAGGCCCCCAGTTCATGCAAATGTCCCACTTTGTGGACAGATGATTATCTAACCCCACCGGGTTTATTTCAATATTTTGATATTCAATAATAAGCTGCTTCTGAAGATTTTTTTTTGAGAAGTCTGTTCTCTAATAAAATAAGATAGAACCTCAAAATATGAATGTGAACATTAGAAATAGACAGCATATATTACAAATCCATTCTTGATAGGAACATTAGTAAGAATACACATTAGCTTAAAAAACAGGCTCAGCAAATGTTGCTGATCTGCCAGAAGTTTTAGTTCACTATTTACAAATAAGACAAAGTGAAATACAGAAAATTTTACACATTTGGTAGTTGACAGATTACTGTTTGCCAATAGTGGTCTATCAGAAAACTGATATGAAGGAAGACTGGATAGGAGCCAGCTGTCACCTTCTCAAGCAAATTTAAATGTACAGAAAACTAGATTAATGTTAAAACAAACATTCTGCCTTTTATGGGAATAACTGTATAATCAAATGATTTAATTGGGAAGTACAATTATGTGGAAGCATTTTCTGAAATGACTACATAAATGACATGATCCACTACTGAAAAGTTACCATGTTTATTTCAACCATACCTTGCTGACTTCTCAAGTTCAACAGACAAAGTTGATTAAGCGAAGATTAATGATCATGTTTCCTAGACCCTAAGTATGAGCAGCAAATGAAACTACTTTAAACCAATATAAAACACTGAGGCCCACAAGCATCAGAATGAGAAGAAAAAAAATAATGGCATGATTCAATGAGCATCTGAATTGACATTACAGTGGAATCTGCACTATTTTTATTTTAAATAGAAAACAGTATGCAAGTGTGTTGAGGGGGAGGCATAAAAGTTGTTTTAATTAACTGTGCGCTCTAGTCCAGAGAGGCAATTTATCAAGGGACATGGCCCCTCGAGTATCTACAAGTACACCTAGTATCCTGCACCAGTCAATAGCACATGATCACCAGCATTTGTCCATCTCTGTCAATCAGAATCAACCTTCTCAGTAACAAAACCTTCATCACATCATTCACTTTTGCCCTTTGCTTTTAAAGTTGCAACATAAGTTCTTTCCCCCTTTTTTGACAAGAATGTGTTTTCTGTCCATTGTTTCAATCTAATACTGCATAAAAGCTATCAGCTTCAAGAAGGTGGCCATGGTAGGCAGGATATTCCAGCAACACCTAAATAAAAGTTTTTTTTCCTTTTCTTTCTTTTGTTTAAACAAGTGATTTTTAAGTCCACGTCGTTTTACTTTATATGCACTGGTCTTTCGTCTGACTTTAGGCGTTTTCTGCGAGGCTGTATAAAGTCTTCATCAGAGTCCTCGGTTACCTCACCATCATCCTCTTCCTGATCAAATTCTGGCAAAGGTGCGAAGGTCCTGTCTGAGTAGATCTCTGTGAGTTTATCTTCAAAGTACAATGCAACCGCTTTCCCTGCCTGAGCTACTTCTGAATCAGCCTGCAAGCAAAAGATAGGAATATTCACCTATTGGTAATGCATATTCCTTCACCAAGTTTGCATGGTCTGAAAAGCTTACCTTCAAATTAATTTCTTGTGTTTCTGCATAAACTTGAACAACTTTCATCATCTAAAAAGGATACCAGAGTCAAAAAAAAAGGGAAATTATAATCCTTTCTAAAGTTATGAGACTGTATAGGATTGGTGACGAAAGTCAGCCATACTAGGGAGAACAAATTGCTATGACCAAGTTAACTGCTCTCAAAAATTTACAGAACATGGAACCACTTTCCTTTATTTACAAAGATCTATTACTAAGGAACCTCAATAACTGTCTCAAATTCTGAAATAGGTCAATCTGCATAGAAATTGATCTGAGTTTCTTCAATCTAAGAGAAAAAAATTTTGTGAAACAAATGATATGCTTTTAAAACAAACTGTTAAGCCTTCAACAAACCACTTAATTAGAATTTTATCTGTAACTAATCTAAAACAGGGAAAAGGGAGCTTCTTCTTAAAAAATGCCAGCTCTAGTTCATAAAAGCACATTTCGATTACCATGATCTTACTTTCTAAATTCATATTCAAGGTGTTACTATATCTTCTAAGACATACTGCTGTCCTCAAGATTTGCTATAAAAGTGGTTAGGTTTTTCATGTTTCAACTTTTTTTTTTTTTTTTAATTTAAATAACCATCTGGATGCTTCCCTCTCTCTCTCGCTATATATATACGTGTGTGTGTGTGTTCTTCAAATAATTCAACAGGATTTATTTTAATAATAGTCACATGACATTCAATTTTTTTTTTTTAGCATAAAAGATGGGTGTTTTGGTATTAATATGTTTAAGATTTTGTGGATTCTCATTAAATTCCATGGTCTTCTATTACAGTGAAAATACTTTCAGCACTAAGAGATTTGATTTTATTCCAAAGATAGCAAAAATAGTTTCCTTGAAAGAAGTATACATTACATTTCTCCTTCAAAGACTGTTTACTCTTACCCTCAAAAAAATACATATATATAAAATCAAAGTTAGTGAGAGTCAAAATGATGAGTTCAGAAAACTCAGTGTTATATATATATGCTCTGAGCATCTATCCAAGATGAGCCGACAGATTAGATTAGGGTTCTACATTTATATGTCTAGTAATAAAATCGAAAGATAGGGGTATGGGTACAACTAAAGCCTTATCTAAATGTACCCAAAATGAAAGCTTTTTATAAGAATCTCCCACAAAATATATTTAATTACAAACTGCTTTGGATATTTATTCCAACTTTCAATTCATTCAGGAAGGGAGGGATATTCAAAAATTTTCATAATTTATTATATTGAAGTTCTTAAGTCACATAATACACAGGAAACTTTCTTTTCTGAAACTATGGATACAATCAAAATTTATGTTTAACAAGACTGAATAAAAGGAAAAAACTTTTTAAAATCAAGTTAGAAAATTCTTTCGGCAGGCAAAGTAAAATCCAAAAACAAAACAAGCAAAGACACAGAAACTAAAAACCAAAGACTATAGTTTGGAAGCTAACATACTTCGTTAAACCTTTCACAGTTCTTGAAGATCAAACGGACATCAGCCACAAAGTCATCTGGAATTTGGTAGTGTTGGGAATGTTTTTTCTGAAGCTTCTTTTTCACGGTGGATAAATCCATTGGTTTCTTTATAATCTTATAGTAGTTTGGTATCTAAAAAAATAAATAAATACAAAGGATAAATACAAATCCCCCCAAAATGCCAGATTGTTTCATTGGGAAATGTTATTATTAATTATAGGCGGTGTGTGTGTGCGCTGATCTCTGAGGCAGATGCTTGTGAATTGGGGCATATCACTTTGGACATATTATGAGGAGGGACCAGTACCTAGAGAAGGACATCTTCAATGTCATGGCCTTACACAGAGATTCCAACAATGGGTTTATAGATAGGATAGATTGTGATAATGGTGTAGGACCAGGCAGTTTTGGTTCTGTTTGCTTTGAGTCAAAACCAATTCCATGACAACAAATGTACTTTACATTTCCTGTCCTATCATGTCATGAAAGTCACATTTTAGATTTGCTCCCACTACTTGCCTAACAGTGTCATACTGTGGTAGTTTATGTGTTGTTGTGATTCTGGAACCTATGCCATGGATATTTTAAATACCAGCAGAGTCACCCATGGTAGACAGACTTCAGCTGACCTTTCAGACGAAAATAGACTACAATGAAAGAGAGACAGACTATTTTCAAATATTTAGTCCCAGAAAATGTTATGAATAACAGTGGAACAGTATCAGATAGAACCACAACACTGAATATTGAAGCATGAAGATTACCAGAATATTATCAAATGTAGTACAAAAAGATGAGCCCCTCAGGTTAGAAGACACACAAAATATTATCAGAGAAGAGTGGCCTCCTTAAAGTACGTGAATGGAATAAAGACTTCAGAACCTTTATTTGTTGAAGGGACATACCTCAAAGTGAAGAGAAGCAGCTGTAAATATCCATCAATAATCACAACATGAAATGGATGAAATATGAAACATTGATATCCTAGGCATAAGTGAGATGAAATGGCCAGGTACTGGCCATTTAGAATCTGATAATCACAAGGTTTACTATGCCACGAATGACAAATTCAAAAGGAATGGCATCGCATTCATCATCTCAAAAAAAAAAAAAAAAGTAAGCCAAGATCTGTCTTTAAGTTTAACGCTGTCTGTAGTAGGATAATATCCATACTAGTTAACAAGGAAGACCAGTTAACACAAATAATATTCAAATTTATGCACCAACCACCAAAGCTGGTGAAACTGAAGAATTCTACCAACTTCTTCAGTCTGAAATTGATCAAACATGCAATCAAGATGTATTGATAACTACTAGCAATTGGAATACAAAGGTTAGTATCAAAAAGAATGATCAATAGTCCAAAAAAATGGCCTAGGTGATAGAAATGATCCTGGAGATGGCATGGTAGAAATCTACAAAAACTTCTTCATTGCAAATACCTTTTTAAAGTAACATAAAGGTGAGTATACACACGGAGGATCTCACCAGATGGGATACACAGACATCAAATAGACTACATCTGTGGAATGAGATGGTGGAAAAGTTCCCTATCATCAGCCAAAACCAGGCCAGGGACACTGTGAAATACATCATCAATTGCTCATATGTAAGATCAGGCTGAACAGAAGAAAATTACAACAAATCCACAGGAGCCAAAATATGACCTTGAATATATCCCACCAGAATTTAAATACCATCTCAAGAACAGGTTTGATTACAACAATGAATTCAAAGGAGCTGGGAGGTCAACCAAAGGTCAAAATAATATCAATGTCAAAGCAGGGGAAAATGTAGGAAAATGAACTTCCAAGCAGAACAAGCAAACATGAAAACTAGGAAAAAACCAACAAGAAATAGCATAAAAAACACAACCACAGCACAAGAAGGCATGCAGAACAAAGAAATTAAAAGCACTACCAAAAAATTAACATAATGGCAGCAATTAATTCATACCTATTGATAATTACATTGAATATTAATGGATTGCATGTACTTGTGAAGAGACAAGAGAGTGGCAGAATGGATATGAAAACAAGACCCTTCAATATGCTGCCTGCAAGAGACACACCTTACACACAAAGACAAAATCAGACTAAAAGTTAAAGGACGGAAAAAATATACCAAGCTAACTGCAACAATAAACAAGCAGGAAGGGCAATACTGATCTCTGATACAGTAACTTTAAGACAAAAACCAGCATAAGAAATAAAGAAGGACACTATCTCATGATCAAATGGTCAATTAAGCAAGATGACTCCCAATGCAAAACCACCAAGATATATGAAACAAACCTTATTAAAATTGAAGAAATAGATAAATCTACAATTATAATGGGAGATTTCAATATGCCACTTTTGAAAAGGGACAGAATAACCAGAAAGAAACTCGACAAAGTTACAGAGGAACTAAACAGCAAAATCAAACAACTTGACCTCATAGATGTGTACAGAGCATTCAACCCAACAACAGTACAATATACATTCTTCTCCAGTGCACAGCGTAGTGGTTACGAATCGGGCTGCAAACCTTAAGGTCAGTGGTTCGAAACTACCAGCCGCTCTGCGGGAGAAAGATGAGGCTTTCTACTCCCGTAAAGATTTACACCCTCGGAAACCCTGTACAGGGTCGCTATGGGTCGGAACCGACTCAACGGCACTTAACACACACACACACACACCAGTGCACATGGGACATTCTCCAGAATTGACTCTGTGTTAGGTCACAAAGCAAGCCTCCATAAATTTACAAACATCAAAATACTACAAAGCATCTTTTCAGACCACAATGGTATAAAATTAGAAATCAACAATAAGAAGACCAAGGAAGTAAAAGTCGAATACATGGAAACTGAGTAACACCCTGATGGAAAGCGACTGGGTAAAAGAAAAAACTAAACGTGAATTCATAAAGTCCCTAAAAACAAACGAGAATGAAAACACAATATACCAAAATCTTTGGAACATGGCGAATGCGGTGCTGAGAGGACAATTTATTGGGATAAATGTGCATATCCCAAAAGAAGAATCAAAATTAACGCATTAACACAGCATCTCCAACAATTAGAAACAGACCAACAGAGGGAACCTACAGTCACCAAAAGAAAATAAATAATAAAGATCAGAGCAGAAATAAATGAGATGGAAAAACTATAGAAAGAATCAACAGGACAAAAAGCTGGTTCTTTGAAAGGATTAACAGACTTGACAAGACCACTGGCAAACCTAACAAAAGAAAAGAGGGAGAAGACACAAATAACACATTAGAAATCACATGGGTGATCTCAAAATGGAACCAAAAGAAATCAAAAGAATAACAGAATACTATGAAGAGTTGTACTCCAAAAAAAATTAGGAAACTTAGAAGAGATGGACACATTTTTAGATAAACATGACCTACCTAAACTTATACACAGTAAAGCAGAAAACCTGAACAGACCCATAACAAAAGAAGAAATTTGATCAGGCCATCAAAAGACTTCCAACCAAAAAAAGTCCAGGTATTTTGTAGCAAAAGGAGGGGAGTGCCTGACTTTGCAGTCTAGGAGCGGAGGTCCCTGGGACCACATCAAGGGAGAGGAGCAGAGAGCGGGACCCTACCCAGAGAAGCAATGATGCTGGAGATGGAGACAGAGACGATGACGTGGAGAAATGGAGTGGCTGGGGACTTTAGACCCAGAAAGGGTGTGGGGGCTGTGTGCTGATGACCTGGGGGCAGACTTGCAGGGTATACCCTTTGGTTCGTTGATGATGTGCAAAGACCAAGAGATAGAAAACCAAAAGGGAAGAACATGCGCAGCTTTTCTCAAGCTTAAAGAATTGAAGAACAAAGTCAAGCCTTAATTGCAATATTGAATGATGCAGAAAGCATTAAAAGAAGATGGAAGGAATACAGAGAGTCGCTGTACCAAAAAGAAATTATCAATGTTCAACCATTTCAAGAGGTAGCATATGATCAAGTACATTGAAGGAATTGGCAAAAAACAAGGCACTGGGAATTGATGGGATAAAAATTGAAATCTTTCAAGAAAGTGAAGCAACACGGGAGGCACTCACTCATCTATGCCAAGATATTTTGGAAGAAACTATCTGGTCAACTAATTTGAAGAGATCCTTATTTGTGCGCATTCCAAAGGAATGCAAAAATCATAGGGCAATACCATTAATATCACAAGCAAGTAAAATTTTGCTCAAGATAAGTCAAAAACAGCTGCAACAGTATATTGACAGAGAACTGTCAGTAGTTCAAGCTAAATTCAGTAAAGGATGTGAAATGAGTGGTATTCATTGCTGGCATCAGATGGATCGTGGCTGAAACCAGAGAATACCAGAAGATGTTTATCTGTGCTTTACTGACTAAACAAAGGCTTTTGAGTGTATGGATCATGACAAGCTGTGGACAACACTGTGACGAATGAGTATTCCTAAACGTTTAACTGTGCTCATGAGGGACCTGCACATAGACCAAAAGGCAATTGTTCAAACAGAACGAGGAACACTGAATGGTAAGATATTTGGAGAAGGATGCATCAGGGTTGTAGTCTTTCATCATACTTATTCAACCTGTACACTGAGCAAATAATCCGAGAAGCTAGATTACACAAAGAAAAATGTGGCATTAGGATTAGAGGAAGGCTCATTAACAGCTCATGATATGCAGGTGATACAACCTGGTGCTGAAAGCAAAGAGGACTTAAAATACTTAATCATGCAGTTCAAAGATCACAGCATTCATTATGGTTTGCACATCAATGTAAAGAAAATAAAAATTCTCGCCACAGGACCAATAAATAACATCAAGATAAACCAAGAAAAGATTGGAGTTGTCAAAGACTTCATTTTGCTGGGATCAGCCATCAACACTCATGGAACCAGCATTAAGAAATCAAACGACAGATTGCACTGGGCAATCTGCTGCCCAAGACCTCTTTAAAGGCTGAAAAGCAAAGATGTCAGTTTCAGGTCTAAAGTGTGCCTGACCCACTCAAGCCATGGTATTTTCAATAACCTAATATGCATGGGAAAGTTGGGCAGTGAATAAGGAAGATCATAGAAGAACTGATCCACTTGAGTTATGATATTGGAGGAGAATGTTAAAAGTACCATGGACTGCCAAAAGAACAGTGTTGGAAG